AAGAGTGAAAGCCAAATAGCTGTCATCTCCAGTCCACAAGGGACAACTCCCACTAATCTCTGGAGATGATAGACTTAGAATTGGAAGGCAGTCAGAGGTGAGGGGAAGAGAATAAACTCAGGCAAAGAAGAATTACTCTGCTTACTACCAGAAACACTGCACCACTTTTGGTTCCATCTGGACAATGTGTCTGACCCCTGAAATGATTCCAGTAAACAATTAATTTCCTCTTCTGTTATTTATTTTATAAACTTGAGAAGTATATTACACATTCCAAAAGTGTAAGTAGCATCTTGTATGATTACTTCATGGTCTCAGAGAGCCTATTTCATTACTGGATGGGAAGACATCAGTGTTAGTAATTAAGTTATGTTCTTTTTGTTTGGTTTAAGCCATCATGTTTATCCTGAGCTTTGCTCTAAAAGCTGTTAATACATCTTTACTGAGCCACACATTCAGAATTCTGGCAGACATACACACAAACATTTTGGAATACTAGAAAATACAGAAAATCTGGCAGGTCTCTTGTCTGCAAGACCTGTTCTGCACTCCTTGGTTAGCATGCTATGTCTGCCTTCCAAACTAACCAAAACAACGGGGAGAAGGGTTTAGTGCTGCAGTATCTCACAAAAATGAATTAGCACATTAATAATTATAGCAAGGGACCAATTAATTAACTAATTTGTGCTAAAAGTACATAAAAATTAATACCTGCTGTCAGGTTCTGCTGTTCTTGCAAGATTACAATTTTGGCTATTTGTGCTCTCAAAGTAGCTAGTTCATTTTCTAGAGCACTGATCTTCTGCAGAGCTTCCTCATTGGCGATTGCTGTGCTCCTGGACACTGGTTCTTGCAACGGGTTTTGTAAGGACATCTGTCTGCACAGGGACTTCCCAGAATTATGTCGCTCACTTGAAAGAGGCTGGGCTGATTTTGACCAAGCTTCTGACCTATAACAAAAATCTCACAAGGTAAAGTTCAAGCTGTGTTAACCACTGAAGCATTACTGAGCATCTGCAGTAAAACAAGCACTTACAAAGGGTTGTATTCACTGAAGTCACCAACATTTTTGGACAGTTTATTTCAAGTAGAATTGATAAGGACTGACAATAGATTATCATAAACATTGCAACTGCAAAGTATGACGACATACTGAACTCCTCAGTCTTCCTTAACTTCAGCCCCAAAACTTCCCAGGCAGGTTGGGATTCCACTATTTACTCAAACATGAGGATAAGAACAGTGGCTACTGAGATGTGTAGAATGGCTCCAGGCTAATACATCTTAAGAGCCCCATCCCCTGGGTGGCTTAAACTACTCTGGATGTGCATCTGCAGCTGTGCTAGACCTCAAGCAGGAGCCAACACTTAAGGCCAGAAAAAGCACTGTGCTCTGACCACCTCAATCCAGGCTTAGATACACATTTCAATCTTCCACAACACTGACAGAAAGTATCAGCACAACTTGTAGAATTTTGATCCAGCAGACTTAAATATCAGCAAGCAAGTTAAACTTTAGGTGCTGTTATCTGGATAATAGAGAATAGAGAGCAACTAAAGCTGAGGAAAGAACAGGAGGGTTCCCATAGCAGCCACCTCCCTGTTCTCACTAAGTTAGGTGGAAGGAGCCAGTGGTCACTTCACTCTTTGAAACCTGCCTTCTAGAAAGTCTTTAACAGAGCACAATAAACAACAAAGGGTATTTTCAGCTCAGAGCAGCAATGGTGTTTTAAGTAAATGTCCTGATTGCAATGTAATGCTGTGGAAAAATACTATGCCTGAATTATCCCCACTGCTCTGACTAGGGATAGAGGAAAAAGGATGTGTCATTTAGTTGCTTCCTTTATAAAACTACCTTTGCAGAAATTAATATGTCTGTAAGACTGTTTATTGCATTATACTGTGTATATGTATTTAACAGTAACTGTGATGTGATCTTGTTTAAACAGAGAACTTCAAATGCCAGGAACACACCTAATGCACAGGAGCTCCACTGCATAATGCTCTGCATGGCCACAATAAACCTGCACATTGTAACACTCCTGTTTGCTAAGTAATTCACTTACCATGCTCCATTATTAGCTGTTTGCCTTACGGTCACTATATAGCTGGAGGATTATTTTAGTCCCAACCCACATCCATCTGTCCCCTTACCCCCTCCATATGCAGAGGTCTCAGAAAATGTGCAAGCCTTACATCTTTTGTTACAGGTTCTTTGAAGGCACAGAGCTAATCTCTCTGTTGTCTCCGTTAAACATAATAGCTTTACAGTTCAATCCTTAAACAAAACGTTTCTGTGGAAGCAAAACAGTACTGGCCAGTTCATTTCCTTCGCATAAAGTAGACTTCACAAGCAGTGCTTCCCAAACAAGCATTAATTTCTGCAACTCCCCTTGGAGATGGTGAAATGAATGTGGCAGTACCAGAATGTTTGTTAAGCAAAGCTGTGCTAGGGCAAGTCGTGTTGGAGGGCATCTAGGTCATTACTGACCTCTTTTGTGCTTTCAGATTAAGAGCAACATCCTCCAGTAATCTCTGGAGCCCACAATCTGCGCTTTTCTCTGGAAGCTTAGTTTGTTTAGAAGAAAAACTTCCTCTGCACTACAGAACTGTCCCTTTGTTTCTGGCCAGTCTGAGCAGCAATTTGGGTAGGCTGGAATAGAGAACTTCATCACTTCAGCCAACCTGTTCCATGCAGTTACCGTGCTGTGTGGTGCTCTTGGTCCAACACAACAGCCTTATCCCATCATTCTGGACACAGGTGCTCACATGCTTCCCTGCCAGTTTTCATTATGATGATTAAAGACAATTTTTAAAATTGTCTTTAGCAGAATGCAGAGCCCTAATCAGGAAGGTGAAAACCAATGTGCCAGTTCTTGGATTGTCACAATGACCATTGCTGCTGATTAGGAAGCTGTAAAGTGCACTGCCCCATACTAATGACACTCTTAGGAGAAGGGAAGAATCAGCCTTGGGAACTGTGCCATACCACAGCAGACGTTTGTGTGGGGACAAGGTTGCTTGAAGCTGTCATGTGCTAGTTTTTGCAATAAGTAAATAAAAACCAGTTTTTCTTGTATAAAGGCCATCTCCTGTATGTTCCCAAACCAGCCCTTTATTCCTAATCCTTTAGCCTGACCTCTACTACTTTTCTTCCAGACCCTGCCTTTTCTGTGACTCTCCCTCTCTTTTCTCCCAGCAGTAGTGCTCTCCACTAACTGCTATGCACAGATGATCCTCACTGCAGAAAAGCTTTGTTCTTTCTTCTCAGTTCGGAAATTCAAAGAGATGATTTGAGGATCATACCTGAGCCTGGTAGAGTCTTCACCTTCTTCTTGAGCAACCCATCCCACATCTGCAAAGGAGGCCACTGCATCTTCTCTAAGTTGGTTAGGATGGTTTCCTTCTGTGGCATGAGAAGTAAGCTAAATTGTAGAGACAAGATTGAAGGTTTTAGAGTCACTATTCCCAGCCATGGCAGTTATTTTAGCCCACACTTCTAAGTGAGGCTATGTGTAACTACTGACACATACACACACAAAACACATCTCTAGACAGAGCACACTCACTTCTGTCCTCTGCTTGGTTCAGAACCCACTTCACTAACTTCAAAAACTATTCCATCTGCCGTACACTTTACAGAAACTACCTGTGTTTTCAAAGTTGACAGCTGACTACATATGCCATCACGTGACACTACAGAACATAAAAAATCCAGTGCAAAGTTTTATCTTAAAGACAAACATGAACATTCTCAGGCAGTTGGCTGTGCTAACTCAAATAACATGCTTTTAAATTACAGAAATGACCTACAGTTAAAAAAATAGTTAAGGCTACTAGTACAGCTTCAGTCTTTCACTCTTATTTAGTATTACTTTGAAAGTGCACGTCTGTTGACTTCCTATAACTTCTGGAATTTCTATACAAGAATAATGGTGTGTACATACACAGGGGGGAAAAAAGAGACATTTCTACCAGCTCAGTAATCACACAGACTTTGAGCGAGAGGTACCATGTAATCACAACAGAATACACTATTCGCTAACAATCTCATCTGCAGTGCGTACTCAATAGCCACAACTATACAAAATGGTTTCAAATCTACCCTGAAATACTGACAGCTTCCCCATTGTGCACCCAGCTACTGAAACATCTTTCAGTAATTTCTTCTGTTCGGTGTGTCACCTTGAGTTTCTCATCTCCAATGCTACCATGTCAACTCTTCTGCTTGTATTCCAGTCAATCCACAGGCCAAATTCACACAGGAGCCCTTGCAGCTGTTTAAGGCTCCCCCCTGCTGGTAGTAGCCAAGCAACTAGTAATGCTGACAAAGATGGTGCCCCCTTGCTGGTAGTGGCCAAGCAACTAGTAATGCTGACAAAGATGGTGACAGTGTGTGACAGCCTGTGATGGATCCACCCTGTTAGCACTTAGGTCAATTGTCAAGGCAACTCTCCTCTGTGGCAGGAAAGGATCATGTAGCAGCAGCTCCAAAATGTTAACATGAACCTGAACTCGGAGCAGACCCATCACAGAAGGACTACAGGGTGAGGTGAAGCCATTTCTCAAGAACATCCACAGACATGTCAGTTTTAGCCTGTGATACACAAATCCCAGGAAGACAGAAGTTGTGGGCTTGGGGTTGAGGTTTTTTTCCCCAGGAGTTGTTACAAACAGCTTTGGAAATTGAGATTAGTCATCTTCACCTCACACTCTTGCAACTTGCATGTGAGCCTTTCTCACAGCTCCCAGGAGTGTGTACTGGCACCATCAGATCATTTGGAAACAACAGGGTTTTTTCCAGGTAGCATCAGCACAGATGGTAATATGCTTATCACATTAACAGTTGTGCCTAATACCATCACAGTCTGCCTCTCTTTAAAACAGTCTAGAGAATACTATATTGCATGTTAGGATTTTAATTGTTTGAGGTTTCCTTGGTTTTTTTTTTTTTTTTAAAGTAAAAGGAATTTTCATGACCACGGCACCTGTATCAATATTTATGGCAATTAAAAAAATCTGTAATACATTAGACACTTCTTGCAGGTGATACAGATTTTCCTCATGGCAATGCCTACATGAGGAACTATTACCACAAAAAGATGGAAGGCACATTTAAATACAGGCACTACACCTCCTTGCATAAAAAATAATTTTATAAATCAACAGTAAGGAATACATTTACCACTGCCAGGTTTTCTGCACTGTGAAATAAATAACTTCTAATCCAACATTTAGTTGCAAGCCTTCTGTTATACTGTGATGCAAGTTTATTCTTATTTTTTAATTAGTATTTCTATGTACACAGAATCTGCTTGTTACCCCATATACAGATGTTTTCTCTATCCCTAAAAACAAAGTCTTCCACAGCACTGGATTTCAAATTTTAAGTTAATATAAGATCTGTACTTTAATTTCAAGCCAATACTTATGTCTTACATCCTTCAGCTATCTGCAGAATGATGCTTAACCAACTCTTTGACTACCCCAGTTCTCCAGCCAACCTCAGCTGAAGAAAATGTGCCAGCAGGCTGCTTTTCTTTCTCTGCAAACTGTGGACTTTCTCCCTGTCCTCTCTTCACAGGCTGTTTCTACCTATTTCAGTGCCCCCGCACCCTCCAGAAATGCCTGTGGGTTTCAGCCCCACCACTCGACGCACTTTTAAAGAAAAGGTAACGCCCGCTCTGCTCATTTGGCTGATGCCACAGCATTGTAAAATACAGGAATCCCCAAGCTAAAACAAAGAGACCCGCCTGCTGTTTCCGCCCGGTTTCGAACCGGGGACCTTTCGCGTGTTAGGCGAACGTGATAACCACTACACTACGGAAACGCGGCTGCCCAACCTTCCAGGGCAGGCTGCCTAGTTCTTGTTTGCGCCATCAAGTGGCAACGCAGCACAACCACCCTTTTCACGCCTCTGGAGATAGAATAAAACCTCTTTTTTTCAAATTACTAATACAGCGAGGTATTAAACATTTGGAAATAATTTCCTCAAGTCAGACAAGCTTGCTATGACTTTTCAAATTAGCCCAGTGAACTCTGCCGTTCCTACATGCACACCAGGCTCCTTAGGAGACGTCTACTGAGTTACAGGTTTCCACCAGACAAAGAGAAGCATGGGACTAGAGCAGAGATGTTGTAGCTGAAAGACGCTATATTGAGATAGTACTGCAGGTTTGGGTTAATTTACCTGGGCTATATTGCTAAGTTCAGCTTTATTTTCTCCTAAAGACTACTGATAAACCTAAAACATATGACATATGGAACTATTTTCATTTGTTCATGCCATACAGAGTATATATGGTAAGCTCTGCCACCACTTCATACATACATAAGCAGCATTTAGCAATTAATTTAAACGTTTACTATGGCAAAATTTGCTACAACAGCCAGCAGACCACAAAAATCAAAATGTTAGGCTACTACATTTTTCCAGAGTAGCTGAACGAAAGCATGCTAGAAGAGAAGAAAGAATGAACACGACAGATACTCTTTCAATACCTCTTACCCATTTATCAAAAGGAAAATTAAGAACTGTGGAAAGTTTGTTGGTCTTAGATAAAGTTAGAATCACTGGTGATAAACATGCACCCTCAGATGAGGCAAGCAAGGTTTGCTCTGTTTTTTTAGATAAAGTGACTTACAGCAAGGTTCAGTGCATGGTCCTTTCATAATATAGCTAAAGCTGGCAAGAAAGAAAGAGGAAGAGACAGCTATAGGAAAGTGTCAGTTGCAACAGCAAAAAAACGATTGAGATCAGTATTAAACTTCTCTATAGCTTCTTAATGCTGAGATAAAGACATACAAAACATGTTAGCATCACACAAAAATTTCCAGCAGTTCATGTATTAAACTAGTTCAAAGCCTGCATAAACTATGTAAGTGTTAATGTGTTTCAAGGCTCACCTTCTGAAATAAGTATTTTTAATTCAATCAGCTGTGATGATTGTACATCTATTTTTAGGATATTTTCCTTTCATCTAATAGAAAATGAATGTTTCTACTTAGTGTGCATAAAACCTATGGAAAGCTGACTGAATGTCTCCTTAAGAGGAAAAAAAGGCAAATATTTTATGTATTCTAACACAGAATTCAGATGACGACAAATACATATTTTTACTTCAGCACTAAAAATATTCAGGAACAAATTGCTCAGATATATCTTACAGGTATTTGCAAGTATACACACCAGGAATGTCTTCTTTTATGTACCATATCAAAGAAAGGCAGTTCTTGGCTAACTGTGCTAATGAGCATCATCTTCCCTTGCGTTGCCTTTATAGTTCAGAAAATTAGACATCATTATCACAGAATCACAGAACCACACAATGGTTTGGGCTGGAAGGGACCTTAAGGATCATCTAGTTCCAACCCCCCTGCATGGGTAGGGACACCTCCCAGTAGACCAGGTTGCTCAAAGCCCCATCCAGCTTGGCCTTGAACACTTCCAGTGATGGTGCATCTACAACTTCCCTGGGAAACCCGTTCCAGTGTCTCACCACCCTTGCACCAAGGAATTTCTTATAGGAAGGCTTCACTTTCATTCAAATCTGAGACACGTGGAGCTTTATTGCTGGCATAGCTACTATTAATTACTTTCCAGATGTTTAAATCCTGTGTGTAACTTTGCTGTCCTTCTCACCTGCACAATCCCCACCCCCACAACGTGTGTGTGTGTGTGTGTGTATATATGTGTGTGTGTGTGTGTCTCACCAAGCCACTAGTAGTGAGAGACGGCTGCCCCTTCAGTTTCTCAGTGTAATTAAGAAGGGCAAAACATTAGCATGGCTTTAACTATCACTCCAATATGGCTTCTATGGTAATCTGAACTATCTGATTTTACTACTAATTTCAGCTGTAAATATTGTTCATACACTTTATATAGGATAAGAAAATTTACTTTAAACAGTGAAAAATTTAGCCATGTGGAAACTACTTTCTCTTAGGATGGGTGATGATTTCCACCATTTGTCTTTCTGTTCCCCACCCTTGATCAGCCAAAGAAACATTCCTCTCTCAGCTTGAGTTTTAAATACTAAATTTCTCCAATTCTATACCCGCCCCCTACCCCTAACAGACACACACAGTTGAAGAGATTATGTGTAACAGCTTCCATTGTCCCATCTGTTCCTTAAAGACTTGTTATAAAACGCAAGAGTTTTCTCCTCCTTAAGCTCTTCCCCTTACTCTTTACCCTCCCACTAGATGAAGTTGAAGTTAAAAGCAAACAAGTCAGAAAGCTGCAGAGAATGGATGTTCCCCTTTCACCTGCGTTAGCCTGGTATTTAAAACAAAAGCAAACTGGGTACTTATGTTATCTTGTTACTATTTTTTACGTTCTGATAAAGTTGTTTATTTTCCCAAGTACTTTTAAGTAGCTGTTCATCTTTACATGCCTCTTAAGCTTAGCTTATAAGTACTGTTAATAGAAACGTTTCAAACATTTTTCTCTTTTATGAATACATTTTTTCTAATAATGACTTTTTCATACTGTATTGCCTCATTTTAGAAGTTCCAATTTTCTTGCAAAAACCCCATTTGTTTCAAGTTTCATTATGTGTGGCACAGCAGCACAGACTTAAGGTTTAGGCAAGTACAGAACCTGAAGAATGAGGAAGAACTGAAGTAATCTAACTTTCCTATATGCCCAGTTTTATCATATTCTGCTTTTACCAACCCTCTAGTCATGTATTTAATTTAAATACTTGAAATCTATTGATGCAAGAGTAAAACCCCTTCATCAGTATACTGAAACACATATTCTAAACTGTTGAAAACACCTACCTGAAACTGAACTCTTGGACACTGTATGAGAGAGAGATTAGTACCAATTTTTCTTACAATACTTCGAGATGAACCGTAAGGCTTGCTTGACCAAAGAACCTAGATGGGAAGGAAAAAGAAGTCAGCTGTTAGGCAACTGATTTTTATCATATTGGAATAGCTTTTCCCTTATCCTTCCCTGTAACGCTTGTCCTAAATGTATTTTGTTATTCCTTTCTTGCTAGAATAGAATACAACATAAATACACTGAAATTTGTATTGGTGAACTCCTTACATTCCATACCCAGATGAACACAAAATTTGCTTTTGTCATTACAATATAGCTCCAGCTGTTAAAGTACAAGACAGCCTTTGCATTAAGTTTAAATTCAAAGCAATAAATCAGGTAACAGAGAAGTATTCAAGAGTTGGAAGCATCTTCAGAAGTACAATTTGACCATTTTGAAGACAATAAATTATCTGCATTGAGTCAGACATCTCTTTTTTAAGGGCTTTCAGGAAAAGCCAATAATGAAAAAATTCATAAAGTTACATAATTCTGCATTTCCCAGAATATTTACTGTAGATACTAATTTACTAGATAGACCTTCATTTTTAAAGGCTCATGGATTCAAGCAAACTCAACACCCTGTTACATGGTTGCCCAACAAAAAAACTTTAGATAAAACCCATGCTGTTAGTACTGAAGCAACCCTCAAGTGGCATGGCAATACTGCCTGTGTGATTAGTGTGGTGTAGCTGTGGGAGCTTCACAACACACAAATTAACAACATTCTGGTATATGAAGCAAAGATCACCACTCTTAGATTGTGAAGGTTCCATTAAAAAGAAAAATTGATTTCCCATGGTATTTATCCCCAGATTATATCATCTCAGGGGCTTCACACAAACATTGTGCCTATTTCTGAACAAGTATCTTTTCTTCCTCTGGCTTTATTGGAATGTATAAATTTTGCCCAAATACATACTCATTGCACAAAGGCTCTGCTAGATGCTCACATCAGAGCTGCAACTTTGTCATTAATCGACTCAGAGCCATTTTATTCCACTCTGAGAAACATACACTCTGTTGCTTAATATACTGCTAAGTTTGAACTCATGTTTTTCCAATGCAGGGTTCCCTGTAGACCCTGCATTTTGGATGCCTCAAACACAGACCTCACATTCACAACTATCACATTACTGTTTGTATGTCTGAGCAAACAGGTAGATTAGGTAGATCAGTAACCTCCAGCAAAAAGTCACTGACAAACATGACCACAGTAATACCACCTCACTATTCACAGTAGTTTCTGATGTTAGAAGCAGAACTGTTGGTGAGAGACTCAACACAATGTTGCATCGGAAAAAGTAATACCAGTCAAGGGAAGGCTTAATTAATTACAGAAGTAATTCCACAACACCAAACCAGCCTCGATTACATGCTGTGTTACCAACTAAGTGCAGTGCATTTTAAACAAGTGCCAGAACTTGTTTGGACCTTGCTCAGATCACAGACAAGATGTTGACTACTACCCAGATCCTAAAAAATATTTGGTGCTTAAATGCCCTGCGGGTTGTTCTACAACAACGGTTTGGTGCCCCAAAACTTCTAATAACTCAGTTTTGGTAATTCAACGTATGCCCAGCCAGTATTTTCAGAAAACTGCATGCAAGCTGTACCACAAGGCATGCAAATAAAGCCAGCTGAGCTACTAAGTCTCAGTACTGCTCTATCCAGGTTCCACACAACTTCTTGTTGACTTGAAGCACTGGCAGAGCAAGTCTGCAAAATATTACTTAGTCATACCCTCTGATTGCATCAGTGTTTTGTTGTTGTCCAGATCAGTTGGCATTTGGAAATGTAACTGCATTATCATGAGCTTGATACAACAGGGAGGAATAAGTTTTTAATCTGCCCACCCCCCCTCCCATTTAGATTGAATGATGGTGCCAGCAATACCACAGCAACACTGATGGCAGTTCAGTATATTCTCATAGTTTGGATTTTCAAAGTTACACTGCACGAAATCTCAGATCCAAGTTGGAATAAAATCCTAAAATACAGATTCTTATTGGTAATTTTAATTTACAGTGCATAAACATTTTGTTCTCCATAAATTTCCAAGATTGATAAAAAGTTCTACCACAACAGTTCAGAGTAAGAATTGTCTTTCTAAGCACATGGCTGATAAGGGTTTCCCTGTTGTTTAAACATTACAATATTCTAACATTTTACAGAGATTACTGCATTGAGGTCAATACTCCTACTCAAAATAGCTTCCTAAAGGACCCAGTGACAAAACAGTTGATGTTTAGCACGTATCTCTCTCTGCTAAATATTCAAAGAAAACTCTATATATACTTCTCTCCAAGAGGAGAGTTAGGTATGTATGATCCTCTGTTTCTCCAGTAAAGAACACAGCCATGCTGCTCTCATTTACTGTAACACTTTCAGGAGAGGTAAATATACCACAATTGCCATCATCTCGGTTTCATGGGGCTTTTCATATCTCCAAAATAAATAATCTTATTTTTGTGCTCTTAAGAATTAATATCACTGTTAAAAATCAGTTGGAATTTTTCCTTCAGCTTCAAAATACACATAGAAGTCCAGCATGAAACGCAGTGTTTGCAATGTAAACAGTTTGTTATTAGAGCTAGTAGGAACTGCATGGTACTTTTAACACATACACTACCCAGTACTTCAGTGCCCAATTAGTAAACTTCATACTTTTTCAGAAATTAAGAATCATACAAGTATTGAGTATACTTAAAGTGTGCTGCCGGAACAGATAAGCACAAACTAAAATATATGGAGTTCTTTCTGTACCTGATTTTCTGAAAACAGGAAGTAAATTTGAAACACTTACTGATTCCATGTTCAATCCAACTTGTTCAAAAGCCATCCTAATTAAGCGCTTAAGCCAGCAAATCATTTGGAATGGAAAAAGCCTTTCCAAACTTGGATTTAAGCCTTCCAAATCTACAAGGCTGCGGAGGTTCCATAGTACTTCTGAAAAGAGAAAGACGAGAATTTTAGATACGTGTTGTGGAACACACACAGAAGTAAACTGCTACACATACTCCTAAAAACACCAAACCTTAGAAACAGTTACTGAAAACAAGACATGTTAGGTGACAATAGTTGCTAGCACTGCAAAGCATAGGTATTCAGAAGGAATTTAGTCAATACAAGTAAGAAAAATTCTTAGTAGTGTCATTTTTAAGAAATCAAAGCTGTTGCAACAATAACCATTAAAAAGCTGGGGAAATGATTCCTCACTCTAGTTTGGACAAATGACGATGTTCAATGACTCAAAGTGAGCACCAAACAGCATGGAATGCCTATAGCTGGGGACTAGCTCTAAGGCTGAAGGGTAATGCTCCTAACTAAAACTCATTTCTATGCAGGGACAAACTATAGAAAGCTGATCACCTCTTGTATTTCATACTCTATGATTGCTTTGTTGTTTTCTTGTTTTTTCCCACAACTAAGGAGAGACAGGAAACATGGAGAAATGACTAATGGAGAAAAGGACAGGAAATAGCATAGATGTGGGACCTGAAAATATTCAAGCGATTTATAAAGTTGGACAGATTTCATATTGCATCTATTTATATGAGCTACCATTCACTTGAATCAGGATGTTTTTATAACAGTGTAGCTTTTCTTGAACTGTTCTACACCAGTCCTAACTTGGATGCCACCGAGAAGTGTAGCCACCAAAAAACAAAAAAGAAAGCTACAGATTTAGGTTTACATTTGGTTTGTGTATCAGGCTAGAATAATACTGAATCACACTGAATAATACTATTTGTAGGATGAACAACAGTGTTGCTGAAGCCACTATACAGAGAGAGTGATGACTAAAGCAACATAACAGCAAGGTATGGGTACTTGGCAAGCATGGAAGTGAGGAGCCGGAAGGGCTATGCAGTCTGGAAGTGCCCACAAGCATGACAGTTAAACCGTAACTGTTTCCATTACAAATGTTTTTCTTCAACAGTTTACAGTTCCTTACTAATAACCTGCTTCTTGTGGAAACTTGGCAGGAACCGTGCAACTCCACAGCTATCTTTGTTTTGTTTTTTTTTTTGGTCAGGCTTAAAAAAAAATAAAAAGGAAAAAAAAGAAGTTGGTATTAGTTTCTTATCACCACTGAAATTAAAAGACACTTCCTAACAGGATTTTCTTTTGCTTCTAAACAAACTAGGAAGAAACTACTAATCTAGAAAATATAAGATGAAAAAGTGATTTTAAAATTAGTGAATCAACCAAACACAAGATTAGAATGGAAACTGCAATTGTTATAAGGGAAAGAACAGGGAAGACTAATGTGCTACCTACCAAACAGCTATGAGTACAAGCTACAGTCATACATAATAAACTAATAAGTCATGGAATTACTTCTGGAAAGCTGGAAAAGTCTGTTAGGGAACATAACCACCTACTTAGTCAATTCTTCCTTGAGGCATCTATTATTCTTCCTTTAGACAAGCCACTGGACTGTATCTTTGATCACACTGCATCTGCTGCATTTTTAAAATAGGAAGAATGCAAGTCTTTCTATATGGCCCAGATCAGATTTGGCATCATATCTGGCACTGTAGACAGCCAGTGACACATGAGAGACAAGAATGCTCCTTTAAAAGGAGAAAGTTATTCCAAAAGTGCAATACATGTGATGCACTCTGCCTCGTTCCAAAGCTCAGACTTGCTGAACATGTAGAGTGGAAATCACAGAGGAGAAAAACAGAACCCACGTCCAGACATTCAAACAAAGGAGGAAAAAAAGGCAGCAACTGTATTGCTGAGTAACTGTGAGGCCAGGGCCGGCTGTTGAAGGCAAATGACAGGGCTATAAAGAGGTGACTGTAACCTGATACACTGCTCTTTCAACAGATAGCCAGGTCATTAGTTTAAAAATCCCAATACATGGTTTCAGGTATGTTTGGCTACAGGAAGTGAAGAAAAGGTACCATCTTGTTTCTGATCAACTGGGAGGAACGAGTCTTTAATAACAGAGACAATTTATACAGAATTGACAAGAGTGTGTTAGAACTTCCCCTGAGGAAACCAGAGAAGGTATAGAGAGTTTCCATGGACTCAAGAAACAGAGAGGCAAAAAAGTAAAGGAATGACAAAAACTGTCAAGATAATTAAAGGCACAAATGCAAATGCAGAAGAAAGTAGCATAATACCAGGATGACAGAATAGTACAAATATGAAGTAGCAAGTTAAAAAAGGCTAAGGTATAAAATGGGTTCCAGCTAACAGGCATAGAAAAAAATACCACATATGTATTAGGAGAAACCAGAAGACAAGAGAGAGCGCCATGATGTAAAAGCAGAAGCAACCAATGAGTGATATAGATATTCAGTATATTCTGCTTTTTCACTTTAGATGGTAGAAAAAACAGACTGATGCTAGAAGGGGCTCTAGAGAACTCTGAAAAATTATAAGCATCCAGGACAATGAGGTCTAAAGAAATTCACCTTGAACAGCTCAGAAATTAGCTAAAGCAACTTCTGAAATACTAGTGATCACTTTTAGAAACTTGAGATCAAAAAAACTCAGGAACAAAAGAAGAACTATGATAACACAAAGCATTGGGAACACTCCAAAATACTTATCCTGCCTTGAAACGTTTATGTGACCTTTTTAAATTCTAGGTTACAAAACTCCAATGACTGAACATAAGACTGCATTCATTCAACAAAACAACTACTTCACTAAAAATATTATTTACAGCTTACATTATAAATGTTTCTTCTGTAGCCTAATTACTTAAAGTACCAAAGACTCGTTCTTCCAGTGACCTGTGATCTGCTTTTGCAGAACGAAGGGACAGAAGGCAACATGTAAAGAGTTCAGAGTACCAGCCAGTTCCTGGATTAGTTCCAGGCACTAAGGAAAACTACCATGTTTTAAGGACCTGCAGCTAACTGGTTATCTAAAAGGAAAACGCTTCTAAGTATATCAGCTTCACATTTTTATGAGATCTATTAGGTTTCCAGGATGATCCCCAGACAAACCTGATACTAATTTCTTCTGAACTATATTGCACTATACTTTTCTTCACAAATCTCACGTTATTTCCCAATTATTTTATGTGCCAAAAGCAGGAAGGGTTCATTCCAAATAAAACTGTTGGACAGCAAGTTAGCCAACAGTTAGCCAATTTTTCTCTCATGCTCTGTATACATGCCAACTTCAGAAGCAGGGGTTAAAGGTTTATTGATTTTATTAACCTAGAACAATACCTCTTAAAATATTGATGCCTGCTTTATTTATCCTTTACCTTTTTTATACTACCTAAACTAAAAATAATTGTAGTTTAATTCTCCTACAGCTTCCACAACTCAATTACTACCCTGAGTGATTAGTGTTACTGCTGTAACATACGGTACTTCTGCTATGCTTAAGCAAAACTACAATTATAAGCAGTAATCCTAGCCAAAATTCCCAAAAGATGTTAGATTAGTAACACAAAGAATTATATTTCACTGCATAAAGCAGGTGCAGATTGGAATTTCATGTGTTCTTCATTTATAAAACTCTATTTATAAAGAAATCACCAATGCTGAAGGACTTACTTTCCGATATGGAATCAGGCAGGAATCCCCTGGTTCAGAAATTAGAAGGTCTAAATTTCTGAGTATCAGAGTTCTCATCTTAGCCTCCTTGAACTCTCTTTTGCCCCCACTTTTCCCAGTCACTTTGCAGGTTTCATTCAATACTGCCATAGGAAATAACAGTATAGAAAGCTGAAAGGTAACACCACTTATAAATAACAAAGTGTTAATTAAATAAATATAAAGACTCTGAAGGCTGGACACACAAGGCACACCACTCAGTAAATAACAGATGGAGCCCATTGCCAGACTTTCTAGTGAGTCCTACCCATGGAGAACGAACAACCAGATCCAAGTGCTTTCAAACTGAAATTCTTCTGTGTATCTTTGCCAATCTTGAATTTGTCCATAACCCTTCCAAATTATGAGCTCTCACTCTTGAAAAACGATGTTCATACTTCTCTTACTGAATGAAAATCCTCTCAGTCACGTAAGAGCCACCAAAAAAAATTAAGAGAATGGCTTAATGGGCTTGATCAGATGAGCTTTCACAAAGAATAAACAAATGCACAAAATCTGAAATGTCTAGTCTCTAAATTGAAAGGTAAAGACGTACAACATTTATAAAGAAGTATGGTTTCAGAGGAATACCAACCCCATTAAACCCCCACACACCCCCCCAAAAAAAAAAGAGTAGGTTAGCAGGAAGCTAGGGCACACATATCTTCAGTCTTTAAGATAGACACATGACCCAAGGTCACCTCATGAAATTACATCCATAAGGAAACATTAAAAAAGTAATGAAGATAGATAAAGCAAGCAATTAATATATCAAGAGCAAGCCAAGCAGGCAGGAAGAATCTTCTGCTCAAGGACTAGACCCTCTCCCAAGTCAACACAGATTGGTTATAAGTTACAGAAGTATATGGCAGAGATCACACAGCCAGCTAGAGAGGTCTGTGTTTAGGCTCTGCAGCCACAAATAATAAAGTGCCCTATTTCTTTCAGAAACACTTATTTGGAAAGCTATGACAAGAGAAGCAGATGTCAGTGAATATGACAGTCAAGGTCTTGCCTAAGCCGGTATCAGTGCAAAATCTAAAGGAAGAACTGAAAATAATGCAGACTTGCACAGAAGTTATAAAAAGCTTTCTTAAAAATCCAGGCTAGTTACTATATTTTGCCAACTAAGGATGGAGAAAATAATCAAAACACTAGTTTAAGCAAAAACCTTTCCTCAGTGGAGATACCTACATGGTGCCACATGATGCCATAGAGAGGTAAGTGAAATCCTTCAACATTTCTAAACTGCACAGTTTTATACTCTACAGCACAACCATATGCCTACAGCTTCCTGCCAGACATACATGCCTCCCCAGTCACTGCAGTGAATGCCAGTCATTCTGCTACATCTTTGAGCAACAAGAAAATATGTTTTATTAGCAAAAGGGTGTATTTGTCTGAAAAAGGATTTAAAATGTTCTACCTTTTTCTCCCCCAAACCTCTTTGTGTTACAACATTGAGTTCCTAGATGCAATCATATTTCAGCTACTGAACTCCACAAATTTTCATTCAGCAATAATTAACTTTTAGAGCCAATGTGCAGAAAACTTCAGCTCCTCTCTCTTTTCTTTATCATCTATATAAAAGGCAGTGGTTACCAGAAGACAAGAGTTATTTTCTTTTCATTCAGCCTTTGTAAATCTTGCCTCCATAAGAGCTACTGTGGAGGACTGTGGCTGTCGGAGGACAACATGTAAATGTTAATGAAGCCTTGATAAGGCTATCAGACGCAGATCAATAGGCTACGGTTGATGTCAGCATTCAAACTCTACTCACACTCAATATTTGGAATTTCGACAGACTGTTAAACAAAACAAAAAGAAGCATCTAGCAAGTTACTCATTTATGACAACTGCAGAAGAACCTGAGAACGGCAGCAGTATCACTTAGAGTACACAAAGTAAGCACCACCAGTTTACAGACAAGGAAAATAAGCAGCAGAGCCCTTAAGGCCAAGCTCCTTTGCCCTCTACACGACACCCCTCTAATTCAAGGCCTCCTTAAGCAACTTCCCCGAAGCCTCTCTGGATTACCTCCAGATCATCTTTCACACACAACGCTTTCCCGCGACCTGTCACTCCCACCACAGCAACGTAAGAAGCTTTCCGTTTCCCCCAGCCTGCCTGCAGAAACCACAGCCTGAGCCCCAACGTCCC